TCTTTTTTTCAAACCAATGCTGAGAGAATTTGCCACTACCAAGCCAGCACTGCAAGAACTACTAAAAAGAGCTCAATCTTGAAACAAATTTTTGAAATACACCAAAATGTAATCTCCTTAAAGCATAAATCTAACAGGACCTCTAAAAACACAATTTTTTAAAAACTACAATTTGGGCAACAAATAGCACAATGAATAGAAGAATAGTACCTCACATCTCAATACTAACATTGAATGTAAATGGCCTAAATGCTCCACTTAAAAATACAGAATAGCAGAATGAATAAGAATTGACCAACTGAGTATCTGCTGTCTTCAAGAGACTCACCTGACACATAAGGACTCACATAAGGTAAAGGGGTGGAAAAAGATACTTCATGCAAATGGATACCAAAAGTGAGCAGGAATAGCTATTCTTATATCAGACCAAACAAACGTTAAAGCAACAGCAGTTTAAAAAGACAAAGAGGGACATTATATAATGATAAAACTAGTCCAACAGGAAAATATCTCAATCCTAAATGTATATGCATCTAACATTGGAGCTCCCAAATTTAAAAAACAATTACTACTAGACATAAGAAATGAGAATGACAGTAAAACAACAATAGTGGGAAACTTCAATACTCCACTGACAGCACTAGACAGGTCATCATGACAGAAGGTCAAAGAAACAATGAACTTAAACTATACCCTACAACAAATGGACTTAACAGATATTTATAGAACATTCTATTCATCAGCACATGGAACATTCTCCAAGATAGACCATACAATAGGCCTTAAACAAGTCTCAACAAATTTAAGAAAATAGAAATTATATAAAGTACTCTCTCAGACCACAGTAGAATAAAACTGGAAATCAACTCCAAAAGGAACCCTCAAAACAATGCAAATACATGGCAATATTAAATAACCTGCTTCTGAATGATTGTTGGGTCAACAATGAAATCAAGATGGATATTATAAAATTCTTTGAACGATAATAGTAACATAACCTATCAAAACCTCTGGGATACAGCAAAAGCGGTGCTAAGAGGAAAGCTCATAGCATTAAATGCCTACATCAAAAAGTCTGAAAGAGTACAAATAGACAATCTAAGGTCATGCCTTAAGGAACTAGAGAGAGAACACACCAAACCCAAACGCAGCAGAAGAAAAGAAATGACCAAGATCAGAGCAGAACTAAATGAAATTGAAACCAAAAAATATAAAAGATAAACAAAAAGCTGGTTCTTTGAAAAGATAAAACTGATAGACCATTAGTGAGATTAACCAAGAAGAGAAGAGAGAAGATCCAAATAAGCTCACTTAGAAACAAAACATGAGATATTACAACCGATACCACAGAAATACAAAAGATCATTCAGGCTACTATGAACATTTTTATGTACATAAACTAGAAAACCTAGAGGAGATAGATAAATTCCTGGAAATATACAATCCTCCTAGATTAAATCAGGAAGAAATAGAAGCTCTGAACAGACCAATAACAAGCAGTGAGATTGAAATGGCAATTAAAAAGTTACCAACAAAAAAAAAGTTCAGGACCAGATAGATTCACAGCTGAATTCTATCAGACTTTTAAAGGACACCATTCCACAAAATAAAGAGGGAATCCTTCCTATTCTATGAAGCCAGTTAATCACCCTAATACCCAAACCAGGAAAGGACATAACAACAACAACAAAAAAGAAAACTACAGGCCAATATTCCTTCTATGCCCAAAATCAGCATAGAAGGGACATGCCTTAAGGTAACAAAAGCCATCTATGATAAACCAGAGCCAACATTATAGTGAATGGGGAAAAATTGGAAGCATTCCCCTTGAGAACTGGAACAAGACAAGGATGCCCACTCTTACCACTTCTATTCAACAGAGTACTGTCCTAGCCAGAGCAGTCAGACAAGAGAAAGAAAGAGCATCCAAATCTGTAAAGAGGAAGTCAAAGTGTTGCTGTTTGCTGATGACATGATTGTATACCTAGATGAACATGAATGCAAAAATCCTCAACACAATACTAGCTAACTGAATTCAATGGTGTATCAGAAAGATAATCCACCATGATCAAGTGGGTTTCATACCATGGATGCAGGAATGGTTTAACATACACAAGTCAATAAATGTGATATACCACATAAACAGAATTTAAAACCACATGATCATCTCAATAGACACAGAAAAAGCATTTGACAAAATTGAGCATCCCTTCGATTAAAACCCTCAGCAAAATCGGCATAGAAGGGACATACCTTAAGGTAATAAAAGCCATCTATGATAAATTCAGAGCCAACATTATACTGAATAGGAAAAAGTTGAAAGCATTCCCCCTGAGAACTAGAACAAGACAAGGATGTCCACTGTCACCACTTTTATTCCATGTAGTACTGGAAGTCCTGGCCAGAGCTGTCAGACAAGAGAAAGAAAGAAAGGACATCCAAATCAGTAAAGAGGAAGTCAAACCGTCGCAGTTTGCTGATGGGATTATCATATACCTAAAGACTCATCCCCAAACCTCCTAGAACTGGTAAATGAATTCAGCAAAGTTTCGGGATACAAAATTAATGTACACAAATCAATAGCTCTGCTATACACCAACAGGGACCAAGCTGAGAATCAAATCAAGAACTCAACCCCCTTTAGCTGCAAAAAAATTAAAAAATAAATAAATAAAATACTTAGGAATATACCTAACCAAGGAGGTGGAAGACCTCTACAAGGAAAACTACAAAACACTGCTGAAAGAAATCACAGATGAAACAAATGGAAACACATCCCATGCTGATGGATGGGTAGAATCAATAGTGTGAAAATGACCATACTGCCAAAAGCAATCTATAAATTCAATGCAATTCCCATCAAAATACCACCGTCATTCTTCACAGAACTAGAAAAAACAATCCTAAAATTCATGTGGAACCAAAAAAGAACCCTTATAGCCAAAGCATGACTAAGCAAAAAGAACAAATCTGGAGACATCACATTACCTGACTTCAAACTGTACTATAAGGCCATAGTCACCAAAACAGCATGATACTGGTATAAAAATAGGCATATAGACCAATGGAAAAGAATAGAGAACCCAGAAATAAAGCCAAATCCTTACAACCAACCGATCTTTAACAAAGCAAACAAAAACAAAGTGGGGAAAGGACACCTTATTCAACGAATGGTGCTGGAATAATTGGCAAGCCACATGTAGAAGAGTGAAACTGGATCCTCATCTCTCACCTTATACAAAAATCAACTCAAAATGGATCAAAGACTTAAATCTAATACTTGAAACCCTACAAATTCTAGAAGATAACACTGGAAAAACCCTTCTAGACATTGGCTTAGGCAAAGACTTCATGACCAAGGAACCCAAAAGCAAATGCAACAAAAGCAAAGATAAATAGATGGGACTTAAACTAAAAAGCTGCACAGCAAAAGAAATAACCAGCAGGGTAAGCAGACAACCCACAGAGTGGGAGAAAATCTTCACAATCTGTACTTCTGACAAAAGACGAATATCCAGAATCTACAAAGGAACTCAAATCAGCAAGAAAAAAAACAATCCCATCAAAACTTGGGCTAGGGAAATGAATAGACAATTCTCAAAATATGCAAATGGCCAACAAACATATTAAAAAATACTTAACATCATTATGATCAGGGAAATGCAAATCAAAACCACCTTACTCCTGCAAGGATGTCCATAATCAAAAAAATAGATGTTGGCGTGGATGTGGCAAAAAGGGAACCCTTTTACACTGTTGGTGGGAATAGAAACTAGTCCATCCACTGTGAAAAACAGTGTGGAGATTCCCCAAAGAACTAAAAGTAGATCTAATGTTTGATCCAGCAGTCCCACTGCTGGATATCCACCCAGAGGAGAGGTAATTATACAAAAAAGACACTTGCACACATATTTGTAGCAGCCCAGTTCACAATTGCAAAAATATGGAACCAGTCCAAATGCCCATCAATCAATAAGTGGATAAAGAAAATGTGGTGTGTGTGTGTATGTATGTGCATATATACACACACACACACGCACACCATGGAATACTACTCAGCCATACAAAGGTAGGAAATAATGGCATTTGCAGCAACCTGGATGGAATTGGAGACAATTATTCTAAGTGAAGTAACTCAGGAATGGAAAACCAAACATTGTATGTTCTCGTAAGTGGGAACTAAGCTATGAGGACACAAAGGCATAAGAATGATACAGTGGACTTCTGGGACTTGGGGGAAAGGATGGGGGCGGTGAAGGATAAAAGACTGTACATGAAGTACAGTGTACACTGCTCAGGTGGTGGGTGCACCAGAATCTCAGAAATCACCAAGAACTTACTCATGTACAAAAAGAATTTTTTTAAATAAGAGTTCCAAGAGTAGCAAGAGGGCTCACTAATATGTGATCACTTTGTCAGTCTCTGCATCACATTTGTGCTTTTATTGGCCAACACAAGTCACACAAGGCTAAGCTCCAAGTCGTTCACACCTTGTTTCTACCAAAAGCCATGGAAACAAGGAGGTATGAACAAACGGGCACCAATCCTATGATAACATATGAATCTAGGTCTAAAATTTTTAATAAACGATATTAGCACACTAAATCCAGCCTAATATACTATGAACAAGTAGATTCATTCTAGGTTGCACAGGTGACTCAGCATTAAGAAATCTGCACTGTGCTGGATCAGAATGGGGGCTTCAAAGGGCCTTGTCTTTCTGTGATCAGTTGTGCTGATGTAACATGGAGACCCAGAGAGGTGAAGCATGTTGGTCAAGGCCACACAGTGAGTTGCTGAGGAACTGGGATATGGCCTGGTCTCTGCAATTTCTCTGCAGTGCTCCCAGAATGGGGCCAGTGACTGGCTGACTCAGCTTCTGACCCCACCCCCCTCATCCATTCACGATCCTTGAATCCGTGCCTTCCCACCCCAGGACCCTGCACCACATCTCTTCTGCAACTTTCTCCCCAGTGTTGCTCATGTGTTGACTCTTCCAGGCCTATAAGAGGAAGACAGAAGCAGCCAAGAAGGAATATCTGAAGGCTCTGGCAGCCTACCGGGCTAGCCTCGTCTCCAAGGTAACACCTGGAATCTCCAGGCACAGCCCTGATCAGAGTGGGGCCACTTGAGGAATGGAGCAAGAACCGGGGCCCGTGGGAAGGCCAGCACCCCAGGTCTTAGAAAGGATGGGTCAGACCTACATGGTCATGTCTGCAGGGCACCTACAGCGTGCCAGCCTCATTCTGGGCACTTTACATGCATTTCTTTCCACTGGATTCTTCCAACAAGAACCCAGCACCCAGAGGGGTTGAGCAACTTGCCTGAAAAGATCCAGTTTGTTGAAGTGGCTGCACTAGGATTCAAACCCAGTTTTGCCAGTTTTATGTGGCGTTTACTTCTGACCACTGATGGGGCTTGGGACATACTACCCCAAAATATGGCACCTCGTCACCACACCCCCGGCCGCCTCTGTCAACACCAGCAATGTAGGAAGCTAGGTGTGGCTGTGGATGCGTGGCCCAAGTGGAGGTGGGTGGTGTTCCTGTTACAGAGGAGATGGCGCACAAATTGGTCCATAAGAGGCCAAGTAAAAGGCGGTTCAAAGTCAAGGGAACAACATCTGCAAAGGCACAGAGGCTGGAAGGGGCATGATGGGAGCTGGCTCAGTGGGATGGTGCTTGTCCCACTGGCCCGGCTGAGGAGCATGGATTCCCCCATGGGGAGGAGACCCCCCAAAGATAAAAGCAGTGGGTGGCTGGATGGTCAGAGCCAAAGGGACTGAGGCCCCTGTGCTATCTCTGGTTAGTTCAAGCTCTCTCCCAAGAGAGCCAGCCAGGGGCCGTGTCAGTGGGTCACAGAGCCTCCTGACCTCACAGCCCAAGTTCTGGCTCATCCATCTTCTGTTCTCTGGTGACTGATACCTGTCTCCTTCCAGAGCTCCCCGGACCAAGGTGAGACCAAGAGCACTCAGGCAAACCCACCAGCCAAAATGCTCCCACCCAAGCAGCCCATGTATGCCATGCCAGGCCTGGCCTCCTTCCTGACGCCGTCGGACCTGCAGGCCTTCCGCAGCGGGGCCTCCCCGGCCAGCCTCGCCCGGACGCTGGGCTCCAAGTCTCTGCTGCCAGGCCTCAGTGCATCCCCGCCGCCACCACCCTCCTTCCCGCTCAGCCCCACGCTGCACCAGCAGCTGTCACTGCCCCCTCACGCCCAGGGCGCCCTCCTCAGTCCACCTGTTAGCATGTCCCCAGCCCCCCAGCCCCCTGTCCTGCCTGCGCCCATGGCACTCCAGGTGCAGCTGGCGATGAGCCCCTCACCTCCAGGGCCACAGGTAAGCAGGGAAGAGCAGGAACAGCCCTCTGTGACTGTGTGGGGAGGGGAAGCGGCTTTGCCCTTTCAAACCCCAGCCCTGCCATGGACCGGTGATATAACCTCAGCCTTGGCACCTGACCTCTCTGAGCCTCAGTTACCACATCTAGGAAGTGGGTCTCGCACACCTTATCTGAGATGCGCTGGCTGCAATGAACAGTTCACAAGTTACCAGACTGACTCTTAGGATATTCCAGTCCCCGCTTCCTGCATCCTCCGCCCTAGCCCTGGCCTTTCCCAAAGCCTTCCAGACCTTACCCCTGCTAATTGTTCCCCAGAGATTGCTACAAGGTTCACATGGCCCTCAGAGGTCATTGGGCTTAGTAATTCCATTTTACAGATTGGGAAACTGAGGCCCACAAAGGGAAAGGCCCTGAAAGCAAAGTCCTTCAGCCCCTGATTCAGCCAAGACAAGGGTTGAATATTTCTCAGGGTGCTCTACTGGAGGCAAGGCAGCAGCCCTGGAGGCAGAGAGGCAATTCTGGGTGACATGAGGCAGTGTCTCTTCTGTGTGGACACCCTCGGACCCAGGGGCTCCCACCCCGGGAGGCCTGGGACAGTCTGCCCCCTTATCTCTCCTTGGCTCATGGCCTCCTTCCCCATCTGTAGGACTTCCCACACATCTCTGAGTTCCCCAGCAGCTCGGGATCCTGCTCACCTGGCCCGTCCAACCCCACCAGCAGCGGGGACTGGGACAGCAGCTACCCCAGTGGGGAGTGTGGCATCAGCACCTGCAGGTTAGTCCTCACCTGTCCCTGCCTTTGCCCTGCCAGCCAGGGAGACTGGGAATAGGATGGCCAGGGATGGGAGAATGGCCACGGGCAACGTGGACAGGGGAGGACCCTGCAGTCACTGTCAGCCCTGCCGAGGGGATTGAGACCTCAGATGACACCGCAGAGCCAGGCCCCGGAAGGACTGCTGGCCTGATGCTGAGGCCTGCTTGGGAAACTGACGAGTCTTCAGTCTTGCTGCTCCTTCCTTGCTCCTGTTTTTTCCACAAATACTTCCACGTGACATGCACAGATGAGTCCTGCATCTTAGGCCGGTTCCCTAGAAGCAGAGCCTGAGGCAGCAGGGATTGGGTGCCCTTGGGGATGTGTTGGGGAAAGCCTGCAGGCGAAGGGGGTGAGGGAGGCAGGATGGGGTGGGGGAAGGAGCCGAGGGGGGATGTGGCCTCAGCTGAAGACTCACTTCCGCCTCATCCCATGGGAGCCCTGGAGCATGAACTGTGCTAGAGTGGCTCCCACCTGGAGGTCAGGGAACTGGCTTTTTTAACCCCTTCATCAGTCAGCCCTCGGCTGTGGACTGCCCCGGTGGGGAGTGGAGCCCACTGGGCGGGGCAGCTCCCAAGACTGGAACAGCTGAGAATGCAGGACAGGGGACCTGGGTGGGAGAACGGACCCACTGTCTATCCCAAGGAATTAGACATCTTAGAGACCCCTTCCCCTGCACCCCAGCGTCCTCCCTCGTCCTCCTGTGGGCCTCCGTTCCCATCCTGCACTCCACCTTTCAAACCCATGCTAACGCCTCCCTCTGGAAGTCTTCCTGGATCCACGCCACCCCAGCTCCGGGGAAGAGTGGCCTTTCACTCCAGCCAGCAGGAGAGGGAGGATGCAGTGAGGAGGGACACTTGCTCCTTAACCCGCCAACCGGGTTCCCATTCCCTTGGCAAGAACGAGTCCCACAGCCACACCTGGGGGATGTAGTGCCAAGCAACTGTTCCAGGGATAGCGCCGCATCCTGGAAGGCCCAGCGCACTTGTTGGGTGGCCACCTTGCTGCTGAGAACCCCTGCCCCCAGCCCTAGCCTCAGCCTCCCAGCACAGGGCTGATTCCTCTGCTGACCCCGCCAGCGCCCTTGGGCACTGAACAAGTGGCCACCGTGCATGCCCTGTTTCTGACATGCCTGGGGTGAGATTCTACGTGGGTGGGCGGACTCGGCTCAACAAGAATCCCTTCCCTGCACCCCAAACAGGTGCAGACCCTCCTACTCCAGCCCTTTCCCGCCAACTTTCCTTCTCGAAAGTCAGAATACTTAGGGCATGTAGGGGAGTGTCACGCAACGTCCAAGCCTCCTGAGGCTGGCCCATCACATCCAGCATGGAGGTCGGACTGCAACAGGGCCCTATTTTAAAAACATAAATGGCACCTGTCCCTCCCTTAATTCAGTTTGAGATTTACAAATTCCTGTGATTAAAAACGGATGTGGGAGCAATGGTGACATCAGCGTGTGCCTCGATGAAGGACAGACACACTATTGCCCTTTCTTCCAGGGCTGAGGACCAGGTGGCCCCCTGCTGGGATTCCAGGACGGGCTTGGTGCAGAGTGGGGTGGGGGTGGGGGAGCAGCTGCAAGTCCCTCATTTGGCTGCAGAGGGGCAGCTGAATCCAGTGGGGGTTGGGGGGGTGTAGAGTGCAGGGGTCCTGGTGCTCCCCTGGCCTGGGGAGGTACCCAACAGCTTTGACAGCCCCTCCTCTCTCACACAGCCTGCTCCCTAGGGACAAATCGCTCTACCTCACCTAATCCCGCCTCCCCACCATCCCTGAGGCTCGCTGGAAGGCACTGCTCAGAGCCTGAAGGGCTGACAGCAGAAAAGAGGCCCTGGCCAGAGGCAGGGTGGCCCATCGAAGGGAGCAGTGACACACCCATTGCCGGGGGCTGAGTCTCTTCCTCGACCTCCCACCAGACTCTGCAGAGGCAGCCCACTGCCCGCCGCCAGCCCAAAGAACCTGCAGGAACCTTCTGCCCGCTGACCTGCTTGCTCCAGGGTAACTGTGGACCCTGTCTTCGCCCTGCGCACGGTACCCTATGTCTGGATGCCTGGCCCTGGCCCCGGCCCCAGCTCACGTGGGCTGCCCCTGGCGGGGTCGCTTACCAACGGACACCCACCCTGGATGCATGGGCCAGGGGGCCGGCCCCCGTCATAGACGTGCACATCGGTTTTCCAGTGTGAACAAAAGATTACGAAACCTAGAAACTGTTGGTTCCGTGTAAGTAGTTGACTACGTGTTTTAGAACTGTGCTGAAGACATCTGTAAGATTATTTTGTGGGGAAAAAAAGTAGTTTCCTTTAAGGTAAAAATCATTTTATATGATCCTTAGCACATTTTTAAGTTTTATCTTAAGGGAGACGTGCACAAAAGCGGCTGCCAAACCGTTTCGTCATCCTCACAGCAAGGACCGGACGATTGCTAGCCACCCCGGAGCACCGCTCTCCTTTTAACCATGTGTTCATCTATTTTACATTGCCAGCGACGACTTTTGTCTATTTATGGAGAAACCTTGAGAACAAAGTTGCAGCTTATCCTACCGTGTGCGTGGTTTGGGGGTTTGGTTTGGGTTTGGGTTCTTGACGTCGTTTGCAGCTGTTTCCTGGCCCTGGCGAGTGTCTGTCTTGGTGCCCAGTGCTTCTCTCAAATCTCTTTATAATAAAACTTCTGAAAAGCTGAAAACAAGTCTGTGTCTCCTTGTCCTTGGTGAGTCAGGGTTGAACCCCCTAAAGTGGCATAGAGCCCCTCGGGCCAGATGGACTCAGGTCAAAGTCTTGCCTGACCTTTACCAGCCCGTGTGGGTTTGTGTGGCTGATGGGAGCACCCTGACCTCAGTCTTGCCCTCTAAGGGGGTCACGATGGTTCAGACTCGTAGGGCTCTTGTGATGATGAAAAGAGGTGTGGGCAAGAGTGCCGCCACACAGGAACTTGCATCGGCTGGTGAGTGGCGAGCCCTTCCTCTGGAGGATGGGGCCTCCCAGGCTTGTGGAAGTGAGCAGTGGGAACCCAGGGAGGAGGCCAAGGGGTTCTTCAAACCTGATTGTAGGAAGCATCCTAGAAGGGATTCTTTAAACCAGGTTTCCCAGCAGATATTAGATGGTGATACTAACAACAACAACAAAAGGCAAATAATACCTGACTGCTTTAACTACATCTGGAAAAATACCAATTGCCTGGTGGAAAGCTGCAACGCTTGCACCCTGCATTGCAGCCATTTTGAGGTGGGGGCAGGTGCCGCTGCTCCCAGCCAGGCTCGGGACTCAGAGAGAGGAGGCTACACCCTCAGGACAGCTCTCCCAGCCTCTCCCTCTCCAATCACGGTAAACCCCTCCTTCCAGATGACAGCCCAGGAGTGGGGTGCAGTTTCCCCACTGGAGGGCATTTTGTAATCCACTTTGGAAAAATAAAAAGAAAACCCCAAACAAACCAGCCACCTGCCATCCCGTCAGCAGCAGCACCGCAACGTGCGGCATAAATATTTCATGTGGTTACAATTTCCTTTTCTGTGTGGAGCTTGTCAGTAACATGACGGCTTAGACAGTTTAATATTCAACTCTTGTGAAAACAGCATCACTGGGATCCACGCAGACAGCCCACAATGACAAGAGTACAAGGCCCTCCTTGTAAAGTGGTGCTGAGGCAGAGGCCTGCTGCCATCCCTCGCAGCTGCACCAGGAGCTCAGGAGTCTTCTCCAAGCGTCCACATGCCAAGGCCAGCCTCTGGGCTGCACGGGACACGCAGAGGCCTCGAGCAGAACCTAAGCACCCTGCCGGCAGATACCAGGGACTGTCGCACGGGTGTGTTCTGGGGCCCCAGAGAGTGGAAATAGAGCCTAAAGGCTGATTTCAGGGCCATGGAGTGGACAGCAACTGTCTTAGTCCATCCCAGCTGCCATAACAGAGCGCCATGGGCCAGGTGGCTCATAGCAACACAAACTTACTGCTCACGTTTGTGGAGGCTGGGAGGTCTAAGATCAAGGCCCTGGCAGCTTCAGCGTCAGGTGAGGGTTCACTTGCTGGTGTGTAAACATCCATCCTCTCTCTGTGTCCGGCAGGGCGGGAGGGGAGGGCACTCTCCAGAATTTAACAGCACTCACCCGAATCCTGAGGGCTCCACTCCGTCACCTTCCAAAGGCCCCGCCCCCAAATGCTGGCCCACTGAGGGTTAGAATTCCAACAATCAAATTCTGGGAGGACACAATCCTTCAGTCTGTAGCGCCGACTACAGTGGTTGGCACTGGTGTCCCCCTCTCCCCGGGCTCTTCTGTTGCCAGAGCCCATCCCCAGGTCCTGAGTGCCATCCCAGTCATTACCCCCTTGAGCTGCCACAGCTAATGACCAAATAATGGAGACGCCAACTCTGTGGTCCCATTCACAACCCGAGTCCCTGGGAGCAGCCTGAAGCCGCCTCCAGCAGCAACACCATCCTTGCTAAGCTCCTTCCTCCCACCCCGCCCTGCTGAGGATGTAAGTCCCTTCTGAGAGTACCCACTCAGGAAATGGCTTGAACCAGAATCCCCACCCAGGCTTGTATGTTTCTAAGGCAGCAGCCTACCATACTGGCTATGCCCATGGTCCAAGTGGGCCACATCAGTATTGCTCCAAATGTCTCTGGCTCTGGCCTCACCTGCGACTACAAGGCTTTCAGCCCTGGAACAACCACCCCACTCC